GCTCTCTCTATCGTCAAAATACAAATTGGTTGTTTACAATATAGATAAGTGTAATGTGATGCTTCTGCTCGTTTGTACATGCCTTCCATGCAGCCTCAAAAATGCTGATTAACCATCCAGGAGAACACACACCTGCCGCACGTATTGTTCAGTACACCTGCTTCTCCATAATTTAAGGAAAGCTCCTCATCCAATCATCCCGGCAGTCAGCCCGTCGGATGGCCACTTTCTCCAGCTTCACAGAGACACTCAGACAGACGTTACATCACCGTCACAGCAACAACAGCTGTCTGTTCGCTGCACCCTCTCCAGAACAACAACAGACACAGAGGAACTGTAATCCTTTATGCACTCACTAAGTGGGCTGTGGAGTTAATTCCACCTTAAAACCTTCTAAAAAAGAAAAAAGGGCAGAAGTGTGGCTTAACTGCCCTAAGGGTTCATCATACTCTCATCAAATGGGGTGCTAATTTTAACATTTAAAGAGCATTGTGTCAACTATTAAAACAGCACTGCTTGAACTTCAATACGTGCCGCTTCCAATGCACTGAATATACAAAAAATATTATTGCAGGCATCAGTCTGTACTGCTTTTGACTTTCTCCTTTCACAGAGTACCCTTTGACACCATACCTGCCAACCTGTCCAGGCTTGTTCACTCCTAAAGCCAGCAGCAGTGAGATTTGTGCTGCTTAAACAACACACACACTGCATTGAAGCAGGTCTGCTGGGCCTCTTGTCTACATGAGATAGCTGAGCAGTGGAGTGAAGAGTTTACCATGATAAGAATAAATCTGTTGATATAGTTTCCCTCATGGATCCTGAGCTGAAGGCAAATTCTAATGTTTAAAGTCATCATACTAATATTATAAACCCTTTGCATGTTGCTTTATTGTGAAATATTCTCAGATAGATTTGAACTCGATCTAGCAACACATCACATCAAACATACAACTGACTTCTGAACAGCATCTGTTTGTGAGAATGAAGAAAAATCAAACAAGAGGTGCAGAAGTCAAAATATCTGCGATGAAAAAATTTATTCAATCTGCAGTTGTTGCTCTTAGGACAACTAACCACCTGTTAGAAAGTCTCTCAATTTAAACGTCACAGGAAACCGACCGCCGAGCTCTGCTGCCTGCAGCATCAAGCCACCAGTTTACGCTGCCGATCAGTCCATACCATCCATGGTAGGATTAAACTCCCTGGAGACCACGAGGCGCAAAAGTTTGCTGTCGGGCTCCAACTGACCCCCACCTAAAACATGTCATTCTTTTTTTTTTCCAGCCAATCAGAACTCCACATGATGACAATATCAGGGGGTTATTCATGTGATGGAAAAGCATTTTTGACAACATTGTTTTAAAATTTCAGTAGTGATTCATTTTTTTTGGATCGACCTACCTGAGGAGATAAGACTCGCTGAATCAGTAGCTTCTTTTAAATCACTTCTTAAACCCATTTTTATAGAGTCGCCTTCAAATAAAGTTCTCTTTTATTTCTCTTTTATCACTCTCTGCCCTTTAATCCATTTAAAAATTTTTACTGCATGTCGTCCGTCTTTATAACCTCCTGATCTTAACCTATTTTTTATCCTTGACTTTCTCTTCAGCTTCTGCCTTAACCCCCTGTGTGATGTCATCCTTCAAGTTATGGAGACCCAGATCATGTGGAGGAAGCTGAGGCTTTGGGCAACCCTGGGTAGTCTCTTGCTATGTTAGTTATCCAACCTTGAGGCCAGTTAGCCATTCTGCTACAGGTTCAGACATGTGACAGCGAGTAAATCACAAGCACAAAGTAGCACAGCAAACTTACTGTCTACAATTATCTTGGATCTCATTGAGTTGAAAGACATTATACAGTATTTAGAAGCTCTGGTTCTGGTTCACCTACACACTTGGTCAACTGCTTCTTCACTCAATCATTTTCAAAACATCTTTGTCAACTTTTTCTACATGCATCTTTCCATTTTCCTGTCATAATTCAGTTACCTTCAGTGATAAAGGTTCCCCGTGATTGAGCAGAGCTGGAATCCGAATGTTGTCACCACAGCGATGCTTTGGTGCATTGTGGTGTCTCGCTCGTGTTCTGTCTGCTCCACGCAGAGGTTCAAATCCCAGCTTCAAGCTTTGATTCATTGTATCTTTGGAGAAAAATTAATCAGAGTAAATTAAAAATTAAAGCTACAAACTACAGCATACTGTAATTAAAGAGTACAATCCTACTAGAAGAAGTCCAGTGATCGTCCTAATATAAGCCCTGAGGAACCAGCAGTGCAACTCTGCCCATCTGCTGGAGGCCATTTCTGTTTGTGTGTCCATGTGTGTGCATGTGTATGTGTGTGTGTGTGTGACAGAGAGAAAGTGTGCGTGTCAAAGCTCTTATTGTTAGTTTACAGGACAGACAAAGACACACACTCTCACAGAGGCTTCAACACACACAAGAAAGTGCATATATAACAAGGCTCACACACCTTGCTCCCTGAGGAATGTCCATTCAGGGGAATTCTGAAAGATGTGAGGGGTATTCAGACAAAAGCGGAAGAGAAAAGAAAGGCCAAACAATAGGGATGTAAAGGACAAGAGTGACGGAGTGAGAGGAAAAGAAAGCAGAGCAGCTTTTGTATGAGTCTTTGCTTTGTGTTGGGCTCCAGGAGCTGCAGTTTCAGTATCCCAACTGTGTTTGTGCGCAGCGCTGCACTGAAGCTGCCGTGTGAGTGCATATGTGGTTCAAGTGTGATGATACTAGGTCACTACGAGGATAGTGTGGGATTACACTGTGGGTGTGGGTGTGCGCGGGTGGGTGGGTGACGTAGCGCTCAGCTGGTAGCATTCTAACATGTTAATCCCTGATAGATTAGCTTCTGTTTCACTCTGGTTATCACGCAACTTTCTCTGCATTTCTTTCCTTTCTTTCAGTCTTTCTCATTCAGTTCCTTCCTTCGCTCCTTCTGTCGCGATGATTTCATTTTTCTGTGGATTAATTTCTGTATTTGTGACCACTGTTGCCTTCCTGCCTGTCTTCATCTTCAACACAACATCTAATCTGTAATAAATGGATTAGCATTACACTGATCATTGCACTGCTCAATCCCTGGTCCAGTATCGCCAGATCACCGGTTTCACAGTACAGCGCAACCTGTAAACAAAAACAATGGATGGAAATTTTGCCTAAAAAGATTATTATATAGTTAAACTTAAATTTCATCAACAACATCACATCAGCTTCAGTTCACTAGGAACAGTAAAAATCTAAACTTTGAGGCTTGTCGGTGAGGTTTTTCCAGGTTTCTACAGATGTAACATGCAGACAGACAGATAAAAGCAAAGGCAGTTGGGCAAAGCTCCAGCCAGACAGATAAAGCAGACAGACAGAAGGACTAAAATGGCACAGATGTACAGAGAGACAGAGAGACAGAGAGACACAGAGAGAGAGAGAGAGACAGGCTGGTGATCACAAGGACAGAGAGTCCGTCTAAAATGACTGAACAGAGTGTTGGTTGTTTTTGTTGTTAGGAAACGTGGTCAGCGGCATTCCAATCCTCCTCCTGTCCCTCATCAATACTGAGATAATGCTGACTAACCCACACATTAGCGCGCACACACACACACACACACACACACACACACACACACACACACACTGAGAGATTCCTTCACTCTAGTCTAAAATTGTCCTCTGAAGATGTCCATGTCTGTAGCGGATGACATCCTCAGGCTACCACAATATTATTATGAAAAAAAAAAAAAAAAAAGATTTTAGCTTAAGAAGCTTAAAGCTTCTGCTGTGGCCTGGAAGCTCTCAGGGCGTTTGTGCTGCAGCTTCAGAGCTTTTCCAGCCGTTGCTTCCTAACGGACAGATGGAAGGGAGGGAGGGAGGTCTGTCTGTCTGCCTGTCTGTCTGTCTGTCTGTCTGTCTGTCTGTCTGTCTGTCTGTCTGTCTTTCCTTACTTCCCCAAACTAGCACAGTCTTTACTGTCAATAGTTAAACTACGATGTCTTCAATCTATGACAAGAATATAAAAGCACATGATTTGATGATTTTGCCGACCAACTGGGCCAGCTTAGGCCTCGGCCACAGCAGCCGAAGGCCTCCTGAGGATACTGTTGAGAAGACACAGCAGGAAACAACTTCCAGCCAAAGTATGAGGGCCGCTCATTCAAACGACTCCAAACTCGACACTGCACCTCCTCAGGTTCCCAGAAAATCTAAAGTAGATCAGACGAATTGACAGACACACACACACTTTTTGTCTTTCCTTTATATAACATATGCAATATTTTCTAAGTAGCTTTACCTCAATATATGTAAACCACCTGGTTCAAAGAACTGAACATTGTGCTAATTTACCACTCACAAAATGAATACAGTTTAAAAGAAACACAAAGCATTTCGTACCTTTAGAAAATCAAGTCAGTGCAGTAGGAATGATTACAGCAGCAGCTTGTTATCAGCGTTACATTACAGCAACTGTCGTACCCGCTTGTGACTTAATATTTGGTTGGTTTCACATGAGGAGCCAACCTTGAGAAGTCTGCAGGATGTGATTCTTGATGTACATCATTTTTGTGAAACCAGGTATTCATACGAGAATATTAGAAGCCCAGATTCTAATCAGTACTTGGCCAACACTGGTATATGAGCACATAGCGGTGGGTGTGACAGAGTTCCCACAGTTAACCTTGGAGGTCGTTGTTTTGAAGCATATTAGGAGTAAATATGAGTGCAGAACCAGCTTTTCTTGGATAGGTAAGGTTTACATTTACTCTGAAGTTTAAGCTTATTGTAAAGACAGAACTAACATTGAACCAGAAAGGAAGCTTTTATCTCGAGGTAAATAAGAAAAATGTTTCTGTTAGTAGAATAGACCAGAGCAGAACATGACCTGTGCTGAATGTTGTTGGCCTGGCTGAATCTAAATTTGGGCTTGTAATGTTTCCCAGGATAGGAAAAGATGATGGGAGCTCGTTACTGTAAATACCAACACTGAGCCTCTAAGGTGAATGTAAAAATCCTTTAATCCGGTTCCAGTTCTTTAAACATTTATTATGGACATCGATCTCATCAGTGGCAGCAGTGCTTCCACCCTCCATCCACAGTGTTGTTTCACAGAAAACACACAACAGTATAACTCTCTCTCAGGCGAACTCAGGACTGAACGGTGACGAGAACAGCAGTGCACCAGGAGGGGCCGATCCAAAACATGAGTTTGGTAAATTAGTGTTTTTCAGTCATGTGAAGTTAGATCTCCTTCTTCTTTCTGGCCACGGCGGTAATGAGGGCAGCACCTTTCCCACTGCCTTCCTCTGATGGCAGGAAAGTCACATCACACCGAGGAGCCAGAGCTTTGGTCGTCTTTTGGAGAACTCCAGAGAAACTAGAAACAGCAGCAAAGAAGAAGAAAGGTTTAGCTTTATGTGAAGAAGGACCTCATTCATACATCTAATCGCACCAAAAAATGGTAAAAGAAAAAAAAAAAAAACCTTACTGTGGATGTAGTTTGTAGAGAGCCCCGTCGACCCCTACAGTGATGTTCAGATGGTCCAGCCCTCGGTTCTCTCTGATCTTATCGACCACGGCCGCCATCCCTGCCCCACACAGCTGAGCGGCACGACGTGACACAGCTCCACATACCTAAACAACAATGAAACGCTTTATCATTATTGCAACAGTTGGTGCCACAGTTTGTTGAAACGGACAATAAACTATTTCACAAAGCGGTAGAAAAAAATATTACTCAACCGCAAGGCGAGCTTGCAACAGAGAACATGATTTCCTAGACTTTATGGGGGAAAAAAAGAAATAAACTTTTGACCTCTCTGTTGTTTAAGTCAAATTTTAGACCTGAAGTAGGCAAACTAATCTCTGTACTAAAAAAGTACGATGCTTAATTCTAATAGTTATAATAAAAAAAAGAAGAAACAGTAATTTTGAGTGATCTACTTTCACAGTCATCTAAATGCTCTCTGTAGTTAATCCTTCCAGAAAAGCTCAGATGGCACCAAAAACATTATCAAGGCTGCATTTGATTTCAGTGTAATCAAGATGGTTATCACTGGTTTGCATGTTGGTTCACCAACACGGCTTAAAGGAAGACTTCACATATCCACACTTGAGCTTTACTGGCAGAAAGTGAAGAAATCTGCTGTGAAGTAAGCTTGCTGATCCAGTACAGTCTGTGCACATCTTGACTCAATTTAAATAATTGTAAAAGTTGATTTAACCCCTAAAAACTCATCTCTGTCTATTGAAGTTACATATTTAGACGTTTTTTCCCCCATGAAAATAATTCTTTCCTGCCTTAAAGTTTTATTCAGTGTATCTCTATCCTGTTGCTTCCTCTAGAATGTGCAGATCCATAAAGTTTCCACCTCTCTCTTTACCAATCCTCCCACTCAAAGCATCTCGAGCACACCAGCTCACCTCTGCTCAAACACTGCATAACTACCCTACACTGGAAAACTGTAATATTGGAGTAATTCTGCCAAACATGTTTGAACCAGTAATGAATTCTGATAAAAAATAATGAAATGGCAAAGCTCCATCTGATGAGTTGACGGGATTGGTTCATAAGGTTTGCTGTGTATGAAACCCCAGAAGCATGAATCCATGTTTTTGAGGCTGTCATTGCCATGCTGCATCTGCAAGGCGAATATGCTGCAACGCTGAGTGACACTCATGATGCGTCTTCTAGCATACAGAATATACAATATGAATACGCTAACAAGGTAAAAAAAAATCTTTGGGAGGGTATAGATGTCAAAATATCAGACAATTGCACAATCTGTCCCATGTTTGTCCTACACACCTCTGGATTATGTCAGGAAACTGCATTTTGTTTCGACAGCAAAATAAATGATCCGCACAATGAAACAGCTTCTCAGCTACACACTTAAGGTCTGATTCTTTGGTGTCGCTAATTTCTTCTCCGTCTTTTACCTCTTTGACAATGATGCTGTCGTCACAGTTGCTGTTGAGCCCCAGCTGCTGGAGAATAGATCTGACCTGCAGTAGAGCCAGGCGGTCACTAGAGGGAGACAACACAGTTACACCATGACGGAAAAAGCAGCCACACAATAAGACTGGAGCTGTCAGTTACAGCATCATTCAATTAGACAAAGCTTTTATGCATTTTATTTAAATTTAGAATTTAGCTTAAAGCGATACACACTCAGTTTCCCTTACCTCTCTATTTGTGACAGATATTTGGTTTGGAATATTCCAGGTGTTTTTAAGGTTTCTGTGACGTGTCCTCTGAACAGCAAACCTCCTCTGGTTAAATCCAATAATACTTGGCGGACAATTTCACCTAAATACATCCCACTGGTCAGCTTTTCAAACCTAAAAAAAGTAAAAGAAAATACCATGTGTGACCACCTGACCCTGTTGTAGGTTCATTTTAACATTAACATTTAAAAATACACAAAACCACGAGAGCATGGGACATAAACAGTATGTGAGGAGTACAAACACACAGGAAGATAATCTACACTCACTGAATGTTAAATTTAATGTGCGTCTGTTGGCCAAGCAGGCAGCATCATACAAATATACAGCGAGTGTTTCTAACCTTTGTTTTCCAGGATTCACTGAGTTTTGGTCCACTTCAGTGTCATAAGGTGTGATGATATCATCCAGTGAGCCATCGTCACCCAGACCTCCCCATTCTGTGTTTACACACATCTTTAACATCTCAGCAGCCCCCTGCTCCCCACAGCAAAAACCAACAAAGGCATTAAGTATATCAGTTCAAATCAAAATGCATTAAACATCAAGACAGCGCACTGATGCACTAAACACTGAGTTCTTCTACCTCGTCCTGCTCTCCGTCAGGTGTTCCCTTGAATTTTTCCGGTTTTCCTTTCTGTAGTTCTGTCTTCTCAATGTTCTTCACTTCCTCCATGTAACAAACGTTTGTGCCAGTTCCTGTGACACAGAATCACACGATGCATTTCATAACAGAAATCACTGCATCGACAGTGCAGCAGGTATTCAAAATACAAACGCTTGTCAAACTCAGTTTATAATTACAATCTAGATGTGTACCATCATAATTGCACCTCCACACTTAACTTCTGCCCAAAATCCTAAACTACGTATGAAAAGTTCATTTGCAAAAACAGATAACTCCATTTTTGTAGATTTTCAGAAAACTTCTTTTTTGTTGTTTGCTTGAGATAACATCAATCAAACTGAAGTTGAGTGGATTCGACTCAGGAGAAATGACAAAAATAGAGATAACCTAAGTTTGATTGATGTTGTCTCAGGTAGACGATGGAAAAGTGGGTTTTGTGAAGGTTTGTGAAGATAAAGTTATCTGTTTTTGCAAATGAACTCTTTATATTGACCTTCATCATGAAAACAAAGACCTCAAAGTGACAACTGAAACAAAATGTAAACACACATACCAGCAATCAGACCAATTTCACACTGAGGGTCTTCATAGGCGCAACTCATCATCGTCCCAACTGTGTCATTGACTACTGCTGCTATGTCCAACTCAAACTCCTGTAGGCACAAACACATATATGTTATTTATTTATGATATTGTATTGTCAATTTACATACACGCATGAATACGTGTGTTTTAACTGCTTGTAGTGATTGACTGTGCATGATTCAAGACAGCAGAATTATTCACCTCATCCGTCATCATTCAAAACTCTACTCTTTTGTGTTTTGACTCACGTTGCGTCTCTTGATGGCCTCCCGCAGCATGCTGACAACGTCATGTCCTTCACAGTTTGTGGCTTTGAAGCCTTTGGTCCAGCTCACCAACGTGCCCTGCAGAACACACAAATGTTGAAAAAAAAGCTCCCTTGGGCGTCTGTTTACTTGCATATTTTACTGCTAAAATCCCACATTTAAAAAGTTATTGTTTCATCATTGGGTTCTGTAAGAACTACATTTCTGTGGCTTTAATAAACTAATCTGACTTGATCTAACTCTGATGTCCATGCTTACCGTGTCAATGGCTGTTTGCTCGCAGGGGAAGGAGAAGGTGAAACCTGCAGGAAGACGAGCGTTCTTCATCCCCATGTAGTCCAGGAAGTCACCAATACACTGTGCTAAGTGATCAAACAACTACAAAACAGAGAGAGACGGAAACTTTTCACTGAAAGATTTGTGCTGGTTTTGTTCATAGACTTATTTAGACTCCTGGCTCAGGAGTTGAAAGATTCACTACCTTTTTATCAGTGATTTACTAAACCATGTTTGGGTGTAAATGTGCCTTATCTGTCTGCAAAGTCTTTCTGCCCACATTGTGCTAACATGCTGACAGTGTATTTCTCACCTCTTCTCCAGTCCCCTGCATTATCTCCAGCGGTATGGTGTAGATCTTATGGTAAAGTCGTACATTCTGTTGTAGGCTCTTTTTGAAGTTCACCAGCATAGCTCTGAAGTTGGTTCCTCCCAGATCCAAGGCAAGGTATTTTCCATTCTCTAGAAAAACACAACACTTAGCTTAGAGATCACGTGTTTTTATGTTAACCGTGACAGTGGATTTGTTGTCTGCTGTTTGGGTCACGTGTGTGTGTTTCCAGAGGTAGAAGTGTATTGTTCCTGACCTGTGCCATCAGGTGTGTGGTACACAAATGACGGCAGCATCTTGATTGCTGAGGGGCCTTTACTCTTCAGCCCGGCCTCCAGCCCTGCTCTCATCCTGGCTTTGACCAGCTGGAGCTGCTCTTGGCTCAGTTTGAAGGAGGACAGAGTCTCATCCACCTGGAAAACCACAGATACTGTACATCAGATGCGTAAGCAAGAGGAGAACGATTATTTTGCGTAGACAGTAAAACCATACATTACAGCTGTACACACAAACAGCACTCTGACCTGTCGCTTCCGTGATGCCAGACGCTGAGCGACTGCCGTCACCAAGGCGGCTCCTTTGCTGCTGCCGCTGTCTGAGAGGGCGAATCGAACATGGCAGTCAGGAAGCAGCCGTCGAACCACTTTGTGGAGACGTTTAGGATACCTTCAATGGAAGCGGCAACAGCATCACTATGCAGGTCTGGGACAATGTGGTCGGTTGATTTGACAAATAAGAATCCACAGTGACTAAAAATGGATTTTAATATGCCTCAGACTTGTGAGTAGTGACACTGAGGTATCTGTAATAACGATGTAACACAGAAGAATAAAACAAGATATCGTCAAATATGATTAATATATTATATCAAGCTGGTTTATATATGAGATAGAGAAGATTTATTTTGCAGTTATCTATAATTTATTTGTGGTTAAAACTGTGCAGTTCATATGACTGGTAGATGTTACTTTTGACCATTTTCTTGCTAAGAGAGGTCACAGTGTTGACATGTTAGGGCTTATTCTTTGACTTATAAAGCCCTGTCACAACCTGTTTGGTGGCTCAACTGTGGAACAGCCATAAAAGTTTGATTCAAGGATCTTTTTCTGTGAATAGTAGATGATTTTGGATCAAACTTGCACTTATTTTGGATGAAATGTGGGACCTTTTACACTCTTTGTTGGATTTTTCACAGTGAGAAAAGCATCGGTGCTGCAAACAACTTTGCCTTTTTTCTATTCAGACGTGAGTCATGACTTTGTGTCCATGAGCGCCCACACACGCTGAGAAAATCCTGAGACTGAAGCAGCTAAATGAAATGTATTCACTAGTTTCAGTATGTGTACTTGTCCAACTGTGACACATCATAATGAAAAGGACCTGTTAATGTGCCCCACCATCATACTGTACAAATGTGAGTGTTGGTGATTATTTCCACTGTCACTTACTGCGGGTGTGTCTTGTACACGGTTCCATCCACACCTACAGTGATCCTTAAGGCCCTCCGATTCCGGTTGTGCTTGATCCGGGTTAAGATGGCAGCCAGTCCAGCAGCCACCAGATTTGAGGACCTGAAGGACACGATGGTGCTGATGTGTTGAACAGCGATGCAGTCATCATCTGATGGGCTCAAATCAAGCTCCTCGAGAATGGTTCGAGTGTTCTTCAGACCATTTTTGTACCTGAGAGAGAAGAACGTTTAGAGAATCTTAATATCTTAAGACAACGACAGCGGAACACAGAGAGTTGAGGTGAACTCACTCCTCCATGGCTGCTACATGTGCAGTGGTTATCTTCCCTTTGGTCCTCAGGGCGTCCGACACACGTCCGTCAAACAGCTTTCCTACTTTAGCCATCTTCAACACCACCAGCCTCACTAACTCACCCAGATACATCCCACTGATCATCTTCTCAAAGCTGCAGTTGTGAAAACAGAGAGACAGATGGGTTAAAGGCCCACATTGGGTCATACATGCTGTTTCACATCATGTCGTATTATGACCAGAGAGAAAGCCGATTTCCCCACATTTGTTTTCCAGGGTTGTTGGAGGCTGCGTCGACATCTCTGTCAAACTCTGTTATGAAATCATCCAGGGCCCCATCATCTCCAAAGGCTCCCCACTCAGTGTTCACACACATCCTGCCCTCGTCTCCCTCCACCAGGTCAACATGACGCAACTCCTCCATGTAGCACGCATTGGTGCCTGTGCCTGAGCACACAAGCATACAAGGTACAGTTATATTAATACTGGAACAAAACACTGGATACTTTAAATTTCCATGTTTAAATCATGCAAAAAGATACTCAGAATTAACTAGAAAATGAAAAGTCAGAATCTTAAACTGACGTTATTTTAACTCGTGATGCGCGATATTAAAATTTCTGACCGATAGCCGATATTAAGATTTCTGATATCGCGATAGCCGATATTACCGATGTCAATATTCAATTTTTGTTTATACTGAAAAATGATTATTAAAAAGCACTGATAATAAATTAGCGCAAAACTATTCAAAAGAAGCCCATACCAAGTTAGACCATATAGTCTTCTTTATTACGTAACAAAAGTAAAACATAGTTAAACATATTTTAACATATTCCAAGACAATTTAAGTAAAAGCATCTGTGAAATAGCAGCAAGATCAAATGTAGAGACGAAGGAACTAATGTTAGACAGTCTTCGGTTTTTCACATCAGCTAAATTTGTTTATCGGACCGATACCAATACATCGAAAAACACTAATATCGGCCGATACCGATGTCGTCGCCAATATATCGTGCCTCCCTAATTTTAACCCCACGTATTTTTAATATAAAATCCCGTCCTTTAACTGGCCACTACTGACTTGAGTATTTACTCAAGAAATCTTGTAAAAAAATGGTTCAAACTGAATAAAAGACCATCCACACTAAACACAAATGTGCACAGGATGGCAGACCACTAGAGGGAGCAGCGAGTTAAGTGGCTGGTTGAGGTTCACATCTTAAGGGTCAAAAAAAGGTAATGGAAAAGGTTAAAAAAAAAAAAGCTCTGATGCACAAATTTGTTGTCAGTTTTTGGTCTCTGGATGACAATTATTTCTTTTCATCGTGTCATATTGGATTATTTTACCTGTGTTGACCCTGGATGCTTGTTTTAAAATAAATAGGAGCTTTAGAACGGTTCTGTTTTTAGTGAAACTGCTACCAGCTCATATCTGAAATGGGGCCTAAAGATTAGAAATCACTGGCAACAGAAACTAGTATTAATTTTATGAATGTACTTACCAATGATGAGTCCTGCTTGACAGTACTGGTCGTCAAACCCACAAGTCATCATGGTTGCTACAGTGTCATTAACCATAGCTAACACCTCCATGTCCATACCCTGCAGAGTGAGTTACAGAGTGATGCAGCAGGTTTTAACCACAGCACAGGTCATACAACTGGTAATGTTTCCAAAGAGCTCAAGTATTATGGATGCACAGTGGATGTAATGTAATAATAATTGCACCTTTTACTTCCTCAGTTTTCCTGTTATCTTACAGCTACACCTTTTCTAGTTTTCTGAGATGAAAAAAGCAAAAATAAAAATTGATTTGGTCTGTACATACAGTTTATCCATGAGCAATATCCAAGTTATAGTCAGTATAACTGCAAGTATCAGCTAAATTACTAAAGTAAACTCTTATGTGTCAGTTCCGTTGGGGACCTAATAAATGACTATTATGGGTAAAAGAAAATGTGATGAATAGTGGCGTCTTACCCCAGTTCTGTCAATAGAGTCTCTGAGGACCTGGACCACATCTTTTCCCTGGAGGCCTCGAGCCCTGAAGTTCTTACTCCAGCTTAACAATAATCCCTACAGAGAGGGAACGAGAGGAGGTTTTAGGACAACATACAGAGTAAAACATACTGCATGTACAGGTCATGATAATGAGATGTTTGGAGACCGTTGTACCCGATTCAAGGCGGTCTGCTCGCAGGGGAAAGAGAAAGTAAAGGCCAGAGGGTGTTTCTTTTCCAAACTGATGTTCCTCTCGTGCAGGAAGTCCTTTAGCGACTCGGTCACATGGTCAAATAACTACAGGCAAAGAGTCGGACGCAGAAAAAAGACAAAGAAGCTGAAACCTCTTCGTTTTTTTCTGTTGTTGAACTATCCACCTTCTCCTCACTTCTGCTCCCTTCCTCATCAGACTAAATTCATTTCTTACCTCTGTTCCTCTCCCTGTGAGCAGCTCCTTTGGTATCCTGTAGGTTTTCTCGTCCATCTCCACTCCTCCCTTCCTAATCCCCATTCCCTCTCTCACTTTAACTTGGAGCACCTTGAACTTGGAGCCTCCAAAATCCAGCGCCATAAACTGTCCTTTCTCTGCAGCAGAGCAGAAAACAGAAGTCAAATCTCTCAGTGTTTCTTCTAAATTTCAGTGGTACAATGGTGTATTTTATCCAGCAGCCTTCAGAACAGTTTGAAAACCACATGTGTAAATAACCTGATCCATCGGGAGTGGAGCGGACGTGCGTCGGCAGCATCTTAACTGCGGCGGCAGCGTTGCTTTCTGCTGAAAGCCCCTTCTTCATTTCGGCCTGGAAACGAGCCGAGATGTCGTTTAGCTGGTCGTCATGGAGACGCATTGCATGGAGAAACCTGTCCACCTGAAAGAAATGAGGAGAGAGAGAAAACCGAGCAAACAGAGGCAAAAAGAGGTGAGCTGCACTGATTCACTGGACTTGAACGAGAGTCACCTGTCATCAAATGTCTCATTAGCAGATGTTAGAGGACTCAAAGGTCATTTGTCAGCATCATCTTCTGTTACTGTTTGTACCATCACCAAAGCTCACCATCCCTCTGACCCAGTAGAGTTCATGCTTCCCCATCATCGCACAATATTGCAAAGCTACATTCACCAGACTCCATTCTGATATCTCAATTAAAACTCATGGAAACATAACTGACTTCTGTTCCTTTTTTCTAGACGAGAGCAAAGAAGGCTGGACAGGTGTGAATTACTTTGGCACAATTAACTGGGATTGAATTCAATGTTTTGTGAAACTCATTTCACCCTAACTCAGGACTTTTGGGGACTTTTGGACTTGCGGCCATTTGGTTTAGGTGGCAGGTATTGTTTTTTTCTTTTTGACGATTTTTTTTAATTATAGAAAGAGGGACATTTGTCATGCATTTGGAACCAAAAATATGTCAACTTATCAGAAAATATATTCAACATAGTATAAAAGTCTATAATGAATACCAACAAATATTTTGCACATATTCTTTCTTGGGGCCAATGGACCCCGAAAGACCTTCTACGTATGGCAACAATAGGGTTAAAACAGGCCAGTGCATATTTTGTGAAAACTTTTCGAAGCAGCACAACCTGTACTCACATTTGACTCGTGCGGCTTGTTTTAGAAACTAAGGCTCTGTTTATAAGTGGCACAAAACAGTAACTCATTGTACTAAGTGTAGCTTCATTAGGAGACTGAGGGAAACCAGGGCTTGGAAAACGATATGAAAGCAGCAACAACGACTCATCTTCTTTATTAATGAGTTATGAGGAAATGTTATGTCTCAGAAAGCTGAAGTTCAGCTGCAACCTGTTTGCTGTTACTTCAGCCAGCTCACTATCACTGCAGCTTCCTGAGACAAGTTTCATCACTGACATTTTACTTTATTTGTGTGCAAACTTGAGTGTGTGCAGAGCTGCATATGGGAGTGTCACTACTTTGTGTTGATCCGAGCTCTGCTGAGAGGAGCAGAGACACTGTAGGGAAGGATGTTAATCATTGCTCAGAGACAAATGGTGACACAGTAACTAACGATCACGGCACCTTGATCATCTCACTACAGTACTGTCCGCTCCTTTATCTGTAAGACTTAGTAGAGATAACCATGTGCATATCTGCAAAACTTGAATGCAAATATCAGAGATTTGTCATTCTTATACTTCTCTATTTCTGGATTAATCCTGCCATAGAATTTCCCTTCTGGGATAAATAAAGTATTTTTCATTTCATTTCGTTTCATAATTGCTTGAACTGTAAATTATGAAACACCACAGCAGAGCAGTTAGCAAGAATTACACTTTATAAGGCACTGGAAGGAACGAAACAAAAGAGCTGACTGATCTGTAGTGATGATTTGCATATAATAAACGATTTCACAGTAATCATCAGCCAAAAAAAAGCAACTTTTCCCTTTACAGCAACAAGTTATTTCAATAAACGAACAGAGTGCTGCAAACTGATTTGTTACCGGCCAGTAATTCAAACAGCTAACAGTCAATTTAGCTGCACTCATTTGTGAATCAGTCCAGGGTGACGCTCACCTTCTTCGTGGGGTCCTCCTGGAGTTTGGTGAAGAAGAAGGAAACAAGATGAACGGCCAACATCTTGACGGGAAAAAACACCACACCATGAAAACTGCTCCACTTGGTTTGTGTATAAACCTTGTCGGTGCTCGATGCAAATGAAAACACCTCAAAGAAAGTATGTTCGGTGCACACACATATTAAGATACAAAAAAATCAATTGCTATCCCTCCTGTCTCTTCCTACTGCTGTTTTTTTTTTTGTCTTTTTGTTCTCACTGAGTCCACTGAGCAGAGACCAACCCTAACTCAATGATTAACAACAAGCCAAACCCCTTTCTGTCAGATTGTGTCTCACTGCCCATCCCTCCCAGTCTGTTAAGTTTTATCACAGCCTGTCCTCTACTAAAGTTCAGCAGGAATTTAAAAATACAAACAAATCAACTTGCTCAGCAAAGGTCACATACAATGCAATATCGGTGAGCCCCATCACTTAATAGTGCCAACAAGTGTAAGAACAAAGTGACAGTTTAACAAGGCCAGTCGTTACAAACACGCACTGTGCAGTCAGATATTGTAGAAACAACATGACATTCAAGTGGTGATCCGAGGTCTTTAGAAGCTGAATTTACTGGACACACGTTTAAAATAGTGCACAAGGCAGAGAATATTCCCATTTGATAGCAAAGTGCAGCCATTTGAACCTCATGTGGCTTTAATAAAGACTCTGAACAAGCTGATGGTTACGATTATGTGGAATAAGATGATCTTAACAAATTAAGGCTACTTTAGGAAACTAAAAGAGGGAGAAGGGACAGGTCAAGGGTTGAAAGCAGCTGATTTCTTTGCCATACTAATGTCATATCAAACTCTTAATTGACGTGGCTTCTCTTTGTCATACAGTCTGACATGACTTGAGATTGTCCCCCTTCACATATGCACTGCTCTCTCTTGTGCTTCACCAATACACTTAAAGGATGATTGTAATTGTTAATATGATTTAATCTCTTCGGGATTCTTGCTGCATGTGTGAGAAGTTTTGTTTAATTAGGCAAATCCTAAAATGACTATAGAGATGGTTTTATATTTGTTTGCATCATTTCATTACCAATTAGTGTGAGCTGCATATTACACTATACACATGAAATCAAGATAGATAAAACTGCATTTTATTGACAAATGTCATTCACTTAAATGTACAAACAAGACAAAAATAGGGCATTTCATCACTCAAACATGGCGTCGCTCAGTTCAATCGGTTCTCTTCTGCTCTGTGATGAAAAGTTAATAGAAACTATGATTTTGATCCCACTCTGAAATGAAGAAAACAAAAGCAAAGATAACAACAGACCTGCCTTTTAGAATGTTTTCTGCTCTCAACAATGCTACTAAAACAGTATTTATGATACTGTGTGGATGTGTAATATTGTCCGGTTGCTTGTCAGTTTGTGATATCTCAGACTCCGACCCCACAAAGACCCGTCACAATGGGTCCATTTCTGCTGAGCCAAGGGCTCGGCTAAGTGTGTTGGCAGCTAATTTGACTGTTTTAAAACAAACTTCCAAGCAGCATTAGTATATTCACACTGAAAGAACAGGGAGAATCTCTCACCAGATACCTGATCCAGTAGTTCACAGTTACTTGAATTTGAAACATTTCCCAGCTGTAGCTCGTTTGTCCATTTGTGTGTCGAAGGAAAACGAACAAAGTTAAACAGTTGAATGATGAGAAGGAATTAAAGGACCTAGTATTCTGACATAAAGCTCAGTTCAGACCCATGCGACCAGACTCTGCTACTGTGTCCAATCTGTCATGTTGGTGTTGTTATTTTTAAAGCTGGGGATGACTCTTTACTGTGATGCTTTCATTGCTGGAACAACTGCGCACACCGTCTTCAACTGTTTCATATCCGGATTCATTTCAAACAAACCATCAGACGTTATCTATGGTCTGTATCAGTTACTGATCCCCATCAGAACAGATCTAATCTTGGACAATGACCCACACGCAACTGTTTGTCTCTTCATTTCTTCTTTTTTCTTTTCCCTTTGTTGTTATCAAATTGATTTTCTCCATTGGGTTCCGGCTGTCGATCTTTGGACCACTCCTTCTGCAGCTGCTTGAGCAAATCAGGAGTCAACAGGCCGTCCCTCACCAGACGACTAGCCAGGGAGCTGCCTATCACACCTCCTGAACCTTTTTGTCCTCTTTGACCTCTGCTCTCTGTCTGTAGCGGGTCAGTGATGTTTGGGTCGCTGGCTCTGATGAGACGGGTGATATTTCGGACGCCCTGTTGGATGGCGTCATCAAGTTCCTGCTGGATTTCCCGAACAGAGGCCGTGTCAGGGAACATGTCCATGAACCGGTAGCTACGGAGGCAGACAGAAAAAGAAAGAGTTAATACAAACAAACATCATATATTAAAAGTAGGGATTGTTGATTACATCAACTGCCAACTATCCATTAATCCATTATCTATACACCGCTTAATCCTCACTAGGGTCGCAGGGGGGCTGGAGTCTATCCCAGCCGACTTAGGGCGAAGGCAGAGGACACCCTGGACAGGTCACCAGTCTATCACAGGGCCACACTTAGAGACAGACAACCAAGCACACTCACATTCACACCTATGGACAATTTAGAATCACCAATTAGCCTCAACATGTTTTTGGACTGTGTGGGAGGAAGCCGGAGAACCCGGAGAGAACCCACGCTGCAGAGAACATGCAAACTCCACGTAGAAAGATTCCGGCGCCCCCATCGGGACGCGAACCAGCAACCTTCTTGCTGCGAGGCAACAATGCTACCAACTGCGCCACCCTGCAGCCCCAACCGACAACTAGAGACGCCCAAATAGAAAGTCACCTCAACCAGAGGTACAGATCCAACACATCGTGGACGGCTTCCAGGTGAACCAGGTCTTTGATGTTTTTGGGAGGAGCCAGAGGCCAGCTGATGTGGCGACAGATCCAGCCGAATGTCAGGGGTTCGTCTCGACTGAACTGACGGGCAAACTGAAGAAATAAATGTTATACATATATATGTAATTATACATTCTGGTTTGCGTTTACATTTCCCTGAGCAGTTTCTTTGCACACTTAAACGCCCTTTACCCTGAATACCAAAGGTTGCTTCTTGGTGATAACTTCATTCTGGAGCTAATCTTCTTTTATTAGTATGATACAACCATAAGGTGGGAGGGCACACAGTTCAGTGCCTCTGTCATGTATTCTTACATCCTTGGATTCATATATTTTTACAGCACTGACTCACTGGATCAGTTTTTGTTATCTGATAAACACAAAACACTTAAGTAAACATCAATGATTTATATCTATAGAGCAAAAGTGACTGTGTCTCATTGATGACCACCTGCATTTTTTTGGGCCTTTCACTCAGTCACCTTTCCTCTATAAACACGTCACTGCAGTTACTATTAATTAATCATTTACATTCTCCTCATTGTCATCCTCCACTGCTCCACCTGATCTCCCTCCTTCTAACTTTCTCATGTTTACGTCTTTCATTTCTCACCTTTAAGAACGAGGTGCATACGAAAGGCTGCTTTTTGTTGATGGGAGCCGTACAGAAAACGTAGCGGGACCTCAGGTTCAGTGGTATATGCTGAATCATATCAGCCAGAAACTTGAAGTCGTCAATGTTGCAGACAAAATACAGACCATCCACTTGAGAGAGGCTGACAAATATGTCCTGAGGGGGAAAGAAAAGAGACAGAGAATGATTCACAATAAACACTTGATGAGCAAAAGTGGAATTCTAGATACACTGTAAACTGAAGGGCCTTTCTTTGTGACATTTGGATTTAACAGTCAGGATCTGTTTTCTTTGCACCACTTTTGCTGAGCAGGTACTGTCGTTATTTTATTGCATTCAGGTCACTCAGGTCACTTATCAGGTCAAAATGACTTCATGAACATGCAGCTTTATTTATGTCCATTTACTACAGTGACCTTTGGAAGATCTGAAATGCCAAATAACAAACCACACAAAGACATAAAGTAAAATACACACATTATTATATATAAAAGATAAATAAAAGCTAATGACAGCACTTTGTATTTAGTACTGGCAGGTCTATGAAAAGCAATACACCTCTAAGATTTCTGTTGATTTGATTTTGAAATCATGTGAAACAACTCATTCAGTTTTTAAAGACAGAAAGTAATCTGACTTTTCTTTACATGTAATGACAGTAGCTACATGTATGAGGGAGACTGTGTGCGATATTTTACTTCATTTCATTGATTCACTGGGGCATTTTTGTTTCTTAGATCAGGCTAAAAACGGTTCTATTTAGTTGTGCATATGACAGCTGAAAGTATTTTATCTGTAATATTGTCAATTGATTATATTTATTATGTTTTTATGGATTGATTTTACCCGCCTCTTTGCTTTTAATGTAATTAATTAATGATTGTGTTTATGTTGTGTGGATTGACTTTATCTGTCTTCTTATAGTTTTGTGTGAAGCACTTTGAATTACCTCGGGTACGAATTGTGCTGTACAAATAAACCTGCCTTGCCTTGATAAATAGAATCACGTTAGGATGAGTCTGACAACATTCACACATTCCTTCTAGCACAATACAGTTTGTACAGGTGTCATTATGTCACCTGACATTTTGCCACTTAGTTAAACGTGACGACAACTCCACCCAGTGATGAAAACCAGAAATGTAGCTGGGACACATCTATTTTCTTCCATCAACTGTTTCAAAGGTCAAGAATGAACATGCAAGTCCAAGATCCAGTAATAAAGTAAACACTGAGTATAAAGGAAAACCTGTTTTATGTAAACTCTCATTGCTTTCTAGAGCTCGGTGTGATTATATTTTTCTCACATTGGCGTTATATGCAAAAAAAGGTGTGAGGATAAATGAACAGTAGGTTATACTCACAACAAGGTTGGACAATGTAGCATCAGGCAGATGGTAGGCAAACATCTCTATCTGCTCTGCAGTCGGATGAAGACCAGCCATCTGAGGCAAAGGACAGATAAACCTTAGAAAAACATTCAAATGCACCATGTGAGTGTGTGTGTGTCTGTGTGTGTGTGTGTGTGCACGTGTGTGTGTGTGTGTGTGTGTGTGTGTGTGTGTATATGCGTGTGTGAAATAACCACCTCTATGGGTTCCACAGTTTGGCTCAGGATCGACTTCAGGACAGGCAGATCATCTCTGTGCAGGGTCGTAACTTCTCCCTCTTTAAACTTGGAAGAAAACCTGCAACAGGTGACAGAAAAGACAGGTTTAGAATATTACCCAGGCAGAAACTTAAAAAACCTTTTATGCATTATGTCTTCTGTCCCATCTTTACTGTTTCAGAGCGGAGCCAACCTGAGACTGAAATGAGACTGACCTCCCTGCACGACCAGCAATCTGCAGAGCTTGTGACGTGCTGATGGTCTCCATCTGTTTCTCCCCTTTCTCATTAAGGTTGGGCTTTACTAGACTGTTGAAGATGATCCGTTTTATACTCCTGGAGAGAGAGAGAGGGGAAAAAATGGAAATGCGCAGATATCAGCTGAGTTAATGGAATCTACATTATTAATTGACGATAATCAGCCACAGCTTGAAGATTAGAGCCTTGCTAAAGCCTACATGAAAACTATTTCAAAGGTCTCTAGTGTTGGAGGCTGTATTTGTGTATTACATATCCAAATAAATGTGAAAAAAAATAATACATTTAAATGCAATTCTAGATATTATAGAGACAATAATAAATATCTTACACTATAGAATATATTCATCTGCAATTGATAGAGAAAGTGTTAAAGCTTTTCTGTTTTCTTACAATGATTTTTTGTTGTAACTTGACATGGATCTGATATTATTTCATTTTGTATGATTTCGCCTGCTACCATCAGCCAAACGTTTCTGGTGCATTAAAGGAAGAACCTCCAGACCGATCAACAGCTTCATTCCACAGGCTGTCAGGGTGTTGAACTGCTGATCCAGATATGCAAACACTTGTTTATCTAAATTGCTTTAAGTTATTGGATCCTGAAGAAACATGCTTTCATCTTGTCTGTACTACTGTGTATGTACAGCAAAATGACAATAAACTTGATTTGATGATGTACTTACAGGTTAAGACCCATGCCAATAGCGTCTGTAGCAACCAGAATCTTGCAGGGATCATCGGGGTCGTTGAACTTCTTGGCCTGAGACAGTTTGGTGCCTGTAAATCACAGAGACAACCAAGCTTTGGTCTTTTCAAACACCCAAATAATAGCTAGAAAGCTAATGTAAAAAAAACAAACAAAAAAAAACAAAACGTGTGTTAAACTGAATTTTGGAAGCTAAGCTGAAACCATTAAACATGTTTTTTCAAAAGGACATAACAAGACAGTTTGTTTCCAGGATTATAATCCCCTTTTTCTGACACAAAGACATGCCTAATGGTTCACAAAAACAGTGATGGACAAACTTTTTTAGATCTTTCCAGGCAACAAACACACATTGCTGTGACAAGCACACGTCTTCCTGAAAACCGCTCCCACACTCACCTGGAGGTAAGCTCCCATAAATCACAGCACATTCCAGTCCTCTGACCTCAATCTGTCTGCTGATTGAGTAGATGTCATTTTTACTGAAGCAAACAATACAGTCTCCTGGCTTCAGGTTGTCTAATGACTCTACAGCATGATCCAAGATGGAGAATGGAGTCAAGCGCTGGTAGGTGTGGACCTGAAGAAAGAGGGAGACCAAGTTAAGGAGAGAGAGTGGTGGTCCATAGAGAAGGGTTAAAAACATCATTAGGAGCATCACCCTCCTGCTGCGTGCTACAGCCTCACCTCCACCTCCTCTCCAGTGGTGTACATCAGCTCTCTGATAAAGTCTATGGCTGCAGACTCCCCACACACATGGATCTCCTCTGCACAAAGACCTGCAAAAATACGCAGAATGGTAAAAGAAAGATGCTCAAAAGTTCAGCTTCACGCCATATTAATCATGGTGCAATACAGCGAAACAACTCTTCTGTGTGTGTTCGTATGTTTTTGGATGTGTGCTACAAACCCAGCAGTGCTCTGGTCCACGCCCAGCCTCTGGAAGGATCTTTGATCATTTGAATTTCATCTATTACAGCCACTTCATCTACAGACGCATAAAGAGAGAAAAAAAGGTGCATACTTGTAATCAATTAACACACGTAAGCTTTCCACCAGTGTGTAAATGTATACATGGTCAGTCATGAGAAACCAAAAATATTAACAGGAACAGATATGATGGCTCAGAAGTTTTAGATTTTGGATGATGAGCCTCTTGTCAAAAGAAAATGTGGCAGAACTTTGCCAGTGGATTAAAATATCACAAGAAAAACAAATCTCATGTCTATAAATACAACAACATTGAAGGGCAGTGATAAGGTATCTGTTGAGGATCAGTGATTATGTCTACAACACCACAAAGTTTCAAAAATAATCATAATAATACAATTATTTTTCTGTGAGTAGAAGAAACTTCTTTTCCTTTCCAGTTAAGGTTTCAATATAACTACAATCATTTTTGATCAGATTAGATACAGCTCAATATTATGTCACTGATGTGTACGATTGATCAGAAACATTTGTGTGATACATGTTCAGTGATGAATTATTTTGTACATCCTCATCATAGAACGGCCATTCAGAGAAAGAATATTGGAATAATTAGGAAGAAGTAAAAAAAAAAAAAAGAACACAAGTAGAAATAAACACATGAAATAACAGAAGCCCAGTCGTCATCATCACATCCGGTATGCGCTCCGTTCACTCACAAGGTGTGTTGACGCTGCACATTTCGATGGTACAGGCTACATGACCAGCGGCTCGACCCTCCGAGTCTACCAAGGTCCTCTCCTCCCCAGTAACCAAGTCACACGGTACATTCTGGGAGTACACAGAGAACAACAGTCATCAGAATCAACAAAAATAATAAAGATGACACAAGAGAATACACAAACACATGAAGATAAAAAGATGCTGTAGACAGTGAAATAAAGACATGAGCACATAAAGCTGATTTAAACTGAAATATTAGGAGTATCAATTTAGTGTGGCAAAACTGTAATGCTGTGATTTATGCTCACAACGGACAAACACCCTCTGGAGCCACTAAAAGGTTTCTCATATGAATAGTATCTTCAAGACATGTGAAAAAAATTAAAGGAAACCAGAAGAAAAACAATACGCACAGCATCGTTGCTCTTCTCAAAGATCTCGTGTGCCAGCAGTTTCAGAGGGCCGCAGTAGACTCCTGACTTGGCAGCCAGGTAGCGTTGGATAGCGTGGTAGGTTTTCCCACTGTTAGTGGGTCCAGCGTGGAAAATCACTTTCCTCTGGATGGTCCGAGCCTCAGGATACCTGATGAACACACATAAATACAAGTTATGACACTCGTATACAGATGATGACATTTAGAAGCCTTATAATCCAGAGCGCTAACTGTAAAACTACATGTTATACGTTCTGACTCTGATACGTACCAGTTGGCAGGAACTCTGAGGTCTGAGATCTTTCTAAGGTCATCCAAACAGTCCAGCATGGGAAAGATTTGCTTAGCATGGCGCATGAAGTATGGGAAGATGTCATCGATATGACCTTGAGAAAAACAGACATAGAGCTATTGAAAGAATTGCTTTAAATAAATAACAATAACTACATCCACACAACGGAGGCAACTAACCTGCTCCGCAGCAGATGTCACTGAGGATGATGTGCAGATCAGCAGGGAGTGAGGTCATCTCCAGGACGTACTTCCTGAAGCTGATGAAGGCCTGGTGGAACAGTCGAGCTGTATGTACACACAGAAGAAAAAATGCAAAAGGCAAAGATGTCACCAGAGATCACCGTAGAAGCAGTTTGATTTCTGACTGACTTGCAGCTACATCATCATCATCGGTGGCTTCACATGATTCAGGAAGCTGCAGTTTTCAGTCACGGAAGCTGCTCTCTGCTGAATGCAGATATTTAAAGTCCCTGCTTCTCTCGTCCCCCACCCCTCAACACTCACTGCAGCTGGAGCACACCAGCTCACCTACAACTCTGCTCAAACACATCAAGCACATAAATACATGTAAACATAGAGTGAAAGTGACCTGCTAGGCGACCCGTTTGATTCTAATGTCTGACACCAGCATGTGAAAAACACCACACAGACATGTTAAAGTAACAGCAAGGGGTCCTAAAGCTTTAGATTTTTAGTCTTCATTTGCTCTGTGACTCTCACTGCGGACACATACACTCTCTGGTTATCACAACTTTGATCACCTTTAACGTTAAACTGTTTTGTACAGTATTTTTATTTATGACACTTTAAACCCAGTGGTCAGTCACAATTGGACAATTACTATTGACTGAGTAAAAAAAAAAGCAGACAGAGTGGCAGACTGAATAGCATTCACAAGCTTCACCTTAAAGGTAAGTGTTTTGGGAGCTAATGTACTCACACAACATGATCAACAGATAATTAAACAGCATGTTTTCTCACCGTCCAGGCCATGGTCTGCTGCCAGCTTCTGCATCTCCTTCCTTTTGTAAAACCGGTTCAGAATTTTCAGCATTTCATCTGAATAACAGACACAAACAGAATCAGCTACAGCAGCAAGAACATACAGAGAACATCACCTCCATGTAAGTACTCAGCACTTTAGAAAACGAGCTGATGCTGGTGTGTACTGACGTTTATCCAGCGGCTGGGTCAGCTCGGCCCCCACAGTCCCATGTGCCTCGTTATCATTCTTCAGGGAGACGGGGACGAACAGCGAGGTGTCCGGAGGTTTAGGAGGCGAGCTTTTAGACGAAACATTTCTGCTGTGGACCACAGAGTCCGCCTGTTGTTTATGCAACAAACTAGACCCAGAAGCCACATGACAGCTGCCCGACGTGATGCGACTTGTCCGGGCGTTAATGTGGCGCTGAAGCCGAGAAAACAAATACACGCACCGGTTCACCGACATCGCTGCGAGCGGTTTGTATCCCGGAGAGCAGCGTCTTCGGCGGGCTACTAATAAAAAGTGTGTTATCAGGTCTTAATGTGCGGATTACATATCATAAAATCCAACAGAGGACGGTCAACACATTTCTCTTCCTGCTGGGAGCACAACGTGAGGCAGGACCAGGCACTACATAGGTGGCCACAAATGTGCCTGAGCTAAAATTGAACAAAAAAAATGGAGTCCTATTCAAAATACAGTAATGGAAGCCCAGTTTTATGATGAAATATTTGTGGGATCCATTAGTTTTCTTCAAGCTTATTTTGTTTTTGATATTGTGCAACTCAGAGAGCAAATTACAAACAGGCAGCTTTGGGGACTCCTCTGTACCTGAACCCGAAGATCGTGTATACATAAGACTCCATACATAAAAATTTCCCGCTTACAGAATGAGAGAGACTAGTTGCACATTGTAGTATCGACTAAAACAATATGTTTTGAAGGTTTTCTATTCCCCACTTTATTCTTCAGAAATAAATAAAATTTATGTGTGTTGTTTACAAAAATGTACAGGGTTGTGATTTTAGGGAATTTTATTTTATGAATGAAAGATGAGATACTGCAGGTAAAGTTTTCAGGCACTGGTTAATTTTGAGATATTGGGATGTTTTGCTCCCACAATATGTCTTCTTTTAGACTAGTGTAAAGAAAAAATCCAAAACAACTTTGAGTTTGTTTTTTTCTTCTCGAAACTATGTCTTGATTATTGCTATCTGACAATAATTCAAATTTTGTGAAAACTGCAAAAGATAAGGTTCAATCCTGGGGCCTGGCTGTTCACCCTTTATGTTAATGTCTCCTCTGTATCTTGTTGTCATGTACATTGTTGTGCTGTAATGTAGATACTGTTCATTCTGATGTCAAATCCCTGCAGCGCTGCTTTGCGTACCTCAATATACTCCAAATGTGAATCATGATTGAATGAATGAGGCTTATTTAATTAGAGAACACCACATTTTCATGTTTAAATTTAAAATTTCAGAACTTTTGTTTTCCATCCACTCATTCATCCATCCATCCATTATCTATACACCGCTTCATCCTCACTAGGGTCACGGGGGGCTGGAGTCTATCCCAGCTGACTCAGGGTGAAGGTAGGAGACACCCTGGACAGGTCACCAGTCTATCACAGGGCTATACTTAGAGACAGACAACCAAGCACACTCACATTCACAGCTACGGACAATTTAGAATCACCAATAAAGCTCAACATGTTTTTGGACCTTGTGGGAGGAAGCCGGAGAACCCGGAGAGAACCCACGCTGCATGGGGAGAACATGCAAACTCCACGCAGAAAATCCCAAAAGGTCCTCATTGGGATGCAAACCGGCGACCTTCTAGCTGTGAGGCAACTGCTAACCACAGACTCACCTTGCAGCCCCAGTTGCCGTTCAAAATATTAAATATTAAAAACAAAAATCCAATTGGACATGTCTTGCTTGAAGTACAAAAAAACATATATATATATATATAAAAAAACTAATTCATTAAAACATAAAATAAAATCATGCATTTGTTTTGTTGTACCTTGTGTATGATGACAATAAAAAGCATTCTATTCTATTCTATTCACCAAAATGAAACCAAAATTGTGAAACTAGCTTTATGCTATGTTTAGATTTCTGTGGAAACAAATGCAAATTGGATCAGTTTTACACATCATACTACATTTGCACAGTTTAAGATCAAATTTCTGAAAACTTGTATTACAGAAAATCACCCTCTCACTGCAAGCAATCAATTACGGAAGCTTGTCCTTCTGTTGTCGCAGGCCTGCAACCAGAATTGTAGAAACCCTACAGACACAAGCAAGACCTGTATTAATCTAACTGTGCAGTTACATTTTCTAAAAGTTGTCAGTTGTTACACCATGCTCTTTATGCGGACTGCAATGCTTTTTTTTTTCCACGTTGGAGAATATCATTGATGAACTTCATGAAGAGAAAAAGAGTGTTGTTCAAAGGAAGTTCAGTATAAATCTGCTTTATTCATGATTCATTTTAGCTATATATTTGGGTTTGGTGTATATATACACACATATTACCATACACACCCACCCACGCACACATCCACATCCACACGCACACACACACGCATCCACTCAGACACACTCAAACACACAATGGCATGATCGGACATTGTGTAGGGATTTACATGCAGTAGATAAGACAGGGGCAGAGAGTTTTGGCTTTTAAGTGTTTCTTCATGACCTTTCACGGTATTTAAAGTAAAACCAAACAAACCCTACCAGTATGGTGTCAGAAAGACAGAAAATACATCTGGCAGGAAGAAAGAAAAAAAGAAAGAAAGAAAGCATTGCTTGCAAATAAATTACACAGTTCCAAACAAAATAAACCCAGACTACAAGGTCAACACGAGTGTGGAACAACAAAGAAACCTGAATTGTCGCTCTGCATTCAGACAATTATAAAGTCAAACGTGACGTAGTGACATAAGCTGCATATGAAAGAGACAAAAAGCAACACATATTGTACATTTTAAGTCAAATTAAAATATGTAGTGATATATAAATGACAGTATAATTTCAATTACAGACTCAGATCATCTCTGAGGTGACGTCGTCCTTGAGTGATGTTTAGCTTCAGCGTCCATGCCCCTTTAATGCAAAGTTAAGCATTTGGAGGGAAAAGTGCAAAACTGGCCATAGATCAGAGCTGAAGGGCAAAAGCGCCCCACACACAGGGCTGATAACAGTGTCTTTAAAGCAGGACCTACACTGCCGGTCTGAGCATCACAGTGGAACATAGTTGGATGTGACAGTATATTGATACCGCATCCCTTCCAGTGCTAACGAAAGCAGACGTGAGCCATTTATTACATTAGTATTCTAAACATACCAAACCAACAGGCTCAAAAACGGCACCTTATGATAAACAAGGTGAAACTGACGAGAACAGTGAATTTACAGTCTGCTGATTATGGCGACCTATCGTATCGTGTTTCTACTGAATCATTCAAGATGGAAACAGAAAGAATGGTGATTAAAGAACCGTCATTTTCAGGTTAAAGCTGCTGCATAACTCTCTCAGCTTTCCTTTTTCTTTTTTTTTTCAAGTTTCAAATTACAGAAATTGAAGAAAATCTTTTTCTTACATTGACTGATTTCACAACCAGCAGACGTGATGAGAACTTAAAGGTTCAATTCACCCAAATTACAAATAACCGTATTTTCTACGTTGCCAAACAGATTTACTGTCACAGTTTGAGTTTCTTTCTCCATCCCAATTAAAGAAGACCAGAGGAATTTCATTTGAGGTGCTGAAATTTAACCCCCCCTCCCCTCTTCCATCCGAAAACCTTGCTGAGAAAAAAAACAAAACCTTTTTTGGAATATGGGTGAAGAAATCCTTAAAATAACAATTATAGCTTAGTCCTAAAAAAAAAAAAAAAAGCAGCACGGTACATAATCAAACAAGATGCATCGTGCATGCAGACTAACAGAGAAATCATAACCGTCAGATACATTTGGAAGAATTCCTGTTAAACCGATGAACATCTTTAGTGACATTTACAGCAAATATTCATCTTAACAAAGGACTGAAGAGACTCATTAGTCGGTCAAGAGAAAACGAATTGCCAGTTTTTTCCGATGATCAAATAATCATTTCTTTTCTCTAACGTTATGGTTTGTTGCGTTTTGGGAAGCTGACATCTGCAGATGAATTTGTAACGGATACATTTCACATTTTCTTAATAAACAGTGAATTGAGAATCTGCAGACTAATCCACAACAACAACAACAACCATTTGTTGAAGCGCTAAATTATGATTCGAATTTAATTAAATGATCTTGTGAAATATATTACACTGAAATGACAATGACCACCTTGAATTGAAAAGATAGAATAGACTTTCTTGAATGAAATAAGCTGCAGTCTAGAAGTAGAAACATGTAAGAATGGGATACGTTTCCATCTGATATTAATTTAGGATTACACCTACGTTAAGATGGATATTTGTTGTACAAAATTCCCAACGAAGCAGGCATTTACTTGGAAGTCTGTGAACAGTTTTACATACGTACAGTAACAAAAACTGAGAGATGGAAGAATGAGAGTTTAAACTCTGATATATTGTGTGTGTGTGTGCGTTGACTCATAGCTCAGCCTCTCACATCCTTCGTTCAGACAGATCCACCACATCTACTTTCAATCAGTAGCCCATCCAGACTATAGAAAGTGTCACTCTGTAGGGGATGTGGGAAGGAGGATGGAAGAGAAAGTCCAGGATAAGTGCTGTTCAGTATGCAAACAAAAGAAGCTCCTGCTGCAAAACAAAGAGATAAGTGGTGCGGTGGTCTGTAGCCATCTCCTCTTTTCTGTCTTTGCTCCTGTTTTATTATGCATTCAGCAAACTGTATGGCTTCACTTGTGTGTGCTTGAGTGTGTCTTCAGCCCGTGTCGCCAGGATGACATAGGCTGTCTTGCTGTTTTGTTACTTGGGTTGGTTTGTTTTGCACTGTTGCCTTGACATTTAGCATTCTGCAGACTTGGATTGTATGCTTGTGTGCATGTGTATGCGAGTGTGTTTCAGTCCTGGGGGGACAGAGTGATGGTGGGCAGCTCACATCCGAAAGCTGTGACGTGGTGAGAGGGGGGAGGGGGGATGTCTAAAGGTATGTTATGTGTTTTCATGTATACAGACATTGCTCAGTCCAGGGAGATAGTGGGGCAGCCCTCACACCTCTGGCTGTTCAGCAGTGAAGAGCTGTGGTGTGTCTGTGTGGAGTTTCAGTTCGTAGCCCGGGGCCTCACATCTCTGGCTGCTCCGCTTCGACTGGTTGGGTTCGGGGCTCGGGCGACTCGTAGCGCTGGTGGAAGTTTCTTTTTCTCAGCTTCTCTGGAGCTTTTCTCCACAAAACAATCTCCTAAACACAGAGGCAGAGGAGTGAATGCATGAGAACGTACAGTAAAGTCAAGAACAGAGCGGTGGACAAACAGGTGTAAACAAGACAAGGAACAATGTGACAAAAAAAAGAAGAACAAAACATTTAGGAATGCATGTGTGTGCTTGAATATTCTCAGGATACCACACAAGTCACACATGAATTCCCCAAATGCAAGTCAGATGTCAGCGTATGGCAACACATGGGGCACCACACACAACCCACAAAGGTCAGAAGTTGTCTCCCAACAATACAAAAAACAACGTCTGAGAGGCTAATGGTTAGACAACTAGTTCTGTACTTGATGTTGTTTTAATACTATGTTAAAATGATAATGATATGAAACAAATGAGGCAAAGGCTACGTTCAGACAGCAGGCTAAAGTGACCCAAATCTGATTTTTTTGCCCCTATGCGACCTGTATCTGATCTTTTCATGACAGCCTGAACAACACAGATCTGATTTTTTCAAATGCGACCCAGGCCACTTGGTTATGTGGCCCTAAATCTGATATGTACCTGATCTGTTGCCGTGTGACTTCTGTCTGAACGGTCAGGTCGCATTTATCCGACCAACACGTCAGACGTCACTATTCTGCGTTCAAGTAGACTCCACACCCACACATTTCTCTGCACAGACGTTGCTGCCACTGCCCCACAAAACGCCACGGCCAAAAACCTGGCTCTCTTCCTTTTTAATCTTCTCCTTAAAGCATTGTAAATATGCTGGCTCTGGTTGGACGACAAAATCGCAAGATACGCTCCACCGTTACCATCTGTGTTTACTTCAACAAACACTGTGTGTGACGTCGTCGTGTCCTCTTCTGCGCATGCGGGACACTTTTGGGTCGTATGAAGTTCACACAGGAGATCACATACAAGTCGATTTAACTGGAAATGTGAACGAACTCGCAAAAAAAATCCGAATTGAGCATTAAGTCCTGCAGTCTGAACGTAGCCTCAGACACCCTGAGACCTTCTTCTTTTGTTTCTATCAATACTAACTTGGCTCTTTATAAATTCAAGATTAACAGAACAAAGTGTCACCCTCAGTACATAAGTCCACACCATGCACAGACAATAGGTTACCATTAAACCTGTTTAAACTGTTAAAACTTTTATTGTAAAGGAATTTTACTGAAGTAATCCTGTGTGTTGGTTTGAAGACAAGTTTGAGGATTTACCCCTGCTAACACGTGTATATTTGCATAATCCAAAAAAGAAATAATTTATTTCATTATGCTACCAGGGATCAAAACGCAAAGATGCATGATTGTTAGTAATAACTGAATCAACATGGTAAGGTTCCTTCTTATAGGCAGAAATTACGTTTATCTGAGTAATGACAACTTTGCTGCTGCAGGGCTTCATATGTGTGACAAACATTCTTTTAGCAAAGCATCAAGGCACCCGGATATCAATTTTACTAATGTTTAAAAGACACAATTACCAAAAAGACTGTTGGATTATGAAAAATAGATTGTCTCTCTATTACAGTGACTAATGCAGGCAGTCGCTGTAATCAACGGTCTAAATGGAATATTCACAGCATAAATCCCCGGAGTGCAGCAGTGAATACAATACAGCAACGTTATCACTGGAAAATAAGCTTGTTTGGCTGCCCTTTTGAAAATGCTCCATATTTAAAACTCATCTGATGCTCATGTGTGCAGGAGAAACGTACACGTATTAGCTCACTGATATCGAATACAAGTGAGTTACCTGTTGTTTAAAGTATCTCCTGTCCTCCTCATCCACCAGCACCAGATTAAGGAAGTAGCGCACAGAGAACTTTTTGTTCACATCCCTCATGGTGGGTGTCAAGTCATATCCTGAAAGGAAGCAGAGGATGTGATAAGCTGTCAGTCACATATGAAGTAAAAATAGGCCCATTTAAACGCTTCAACAGGAGGGAAGTTAACAGTGACACCATAATGGCATGAGGCCGCATTGTGTCAGCCTCGACATGTGGATCAGCACTCAACATGTTAACTGTCAAAGAGGAGAAGAGCTCCTACCTGCCAGGAACAGTCTGATGGGAATTGACTCTCCTTTAACCGGAGCTCCATCCATGATCTCATACTTTGCAACCGTCTCCGTCTCTGTGGTGGTGCTGGGACCTAAACAGGAGGATAAAATGTGAGAGTGGAGCAAAGCTAACAAACAAGACCCAACTTATTTAAAGAAGAGAAAAACACATTACAGCTATAAAAACATCAAAGCTTTTAAACTTTAAAGTTAGCACAAGTCCAGATGTGCTTCCATTCAAGTGATTGATCTTATTTTTATATGCAGCCGCCCTGGATTCTTACCTATGCCTGTTATCTCCTTCTTGATGAGCTGTAGCTCCATGTGTTGGATCTTGATCCTGACCAGCAGGAAGTAAATCTTCCCAACAATTACATCCTTGAGGTGGTATCTAATAAAGACACACATCAAGTCCAAGCTGACTTCAGGACATGTCTCAATTGGATTTGTGATTTTCTACGGTGGCAAAGTAGACTTAATGAGAGAAGTTAAGGTGATGTTGATCTTACTTGGATTTATTGTATTCAAACTCGATGTGAAGACAGTCTTCTATGCCGACCTCCATCTTGATCGAGTTGTTGACATCCGGGTAGGTGGCTAACTGGTGGACAATTAACTCGTATTCCTTCACTAAGTCAGACAGCCGACGGACTATTGTCACCCTGAGGAAATATCTGCAAGAAGAAAAGACAGACACCCCAATCTATCAAACTTAGAAAACAAGCAAACATGCGTCACTAAAAGACGACGGTCGTATCCTTTACATTTGAAAATGTATGACCGTTGCTGCTGTGAAAATCTTGAAAAAGTTAGAAAATTATGAAACTGACTTATTTTTACTTCAAAAATCTATATAAAAACATCCATATAGACAAACTAATCAACTGTTAAATCATTTCAGCACTGGTGATGCAAGTACAACTTACATCAATGTATTAACATATTTATCTGCTAACAGCACCAGGCGAGCTACAGAAAAGCTCCCTTGTAGACTGCTGGCTGTTAAAAGACTGAACCTGAATACTCCATGCTGGAAGGTCCTTGTCTGTCCAAAACATCGGTCATAAAACTTTACACGCAACTAAAATAATCCAACACGCAGTTTACTTGGAGTCAAAAGGCATTATTATTGTACCTTAGTCTGACGTTGGCGCCAGTGTAGGACTCATAGGGCTTCTCCACCTGCATGAACTCAAAGTCGTAGCTTCTGTTCTGGGTGAGTTCTCCGGGTAAAGCCAACTCTTTGACCAAGTCCACAAACTCATGGGTGTTGCTCTTATCAGAAAACAGCTCTGAAACACAGCAGAGTGGATTTAGAGTGGTAGAAACACCCCACAAAAATCTATATACATCACTTTGATTTCGGGATCTCATTCTATTTGAGCACACTTAACTCATTACCCTCCTGCTGCTGCAAATACAGTTTGCGGAGGCTTTAGCTCCACAATGGCAGACTGCACATGACAACCACATGCCCTGTTAAACCTTTCAGCCGCAGCCGACGGCGTCCTGTTCACAAGTGGGTTTTCCAGCTAATCCATTCAATTAGCACTTAAAATATTTAATGAAGCTAGCTGCACGAGGCGCTTTAGAGGTTACTAGCACTAAACTTAATATTTCCATGAGCACAATCCTATTGACACTTTGAAAAACTTTAATGATCCACAAGAGAAAATGTTTTATCGCAGTAGCAAATGCACAAATAATAACAAAGATATACAAAAAAAGCAAGCAGGAAGAAAAAAGAATACAATACAAATATTTTCATATGTGCAATTTTACAATTTTTTCCCCGCCAAGTAAAGAATGACAATAAAAAAAAAGAAGAAAATAAACACTGCAGGATACATGTAGAAATAAACACTACATGCCCATACACACTATAAACACCTGTTTGGACGTGAACTGTTACACAGATGAGTGGAGAACGGTATGAATGAAGTCCTGTACAGAGTCTGTTATATTAATGAATAACAAGTAAACCCCCACAGACCGTATACAGCTTCTATCATGCTCACCTATCTGTCCAACAAACTCGATGCGGATGCCCTGATGCTCCAGTCGCTTTCCTCCCTGCTTCACATTTAGATTCACCTGCAGGGGAAACATTTGTTCAGACCAACTTAAAAACATGCTGTCACGATGCCGGAGGGCTGCACTATGAAGCGAGATTAGTGGGTTAGCAAGTGTGTTGAGCTTAAAGATGATCTCCATGGTAACTGATGCTCTGGAGCTAACCTGGTCCAGGTTATATTCAGAGTTTCGGATTTAAATCAGTTGGAAAGAGCGTCTCCCTTTAACCAGATCGTTTCCTGACTATCATTTATGAGCGATACAGATTCTCAGCTGAGGGAATGTGTTTTATCTGCAAACACGCTGAGTTGTGCGTTACGAATATCATGGAATGAAGCCGTGGAGTTACAGTATCGCACACTGTATGCATCGTGTTGCCGTGGGAACCAGACATGTACTTAGCTGGCGATGCAGAAATCACATAAATATGTTTTTAAGTTTGGCTCCGATTTGCTGTCAAGTCCGTTTACTCTGCTGGTAAAACACAGATTAGAAAATGGTTTATTCTGCTGATATTTATTACAGAGAATATTCAATCAATAACATTATTTTTTGCTGATTGAGATAAAAATTAAAGTGACATCCTGCATTATGGGACAGTGTCAGACCTAAACGCACTTCAATACAAGATCATGTTTAAATATATAAGGTTTAAAGTTTAACTTTAACGTGCAAGCCGTCACTTGGAAATAAGCAGCTGCATCGGTAACATATGATATATTAACATGTTTAACAGTTTTCTATCAGCATTCCTGTCTTGCACCATTTGCAGTAGCGGCAGCAGAAAGTCTGAGTTTACAAAGAAAGTTGATAACCACCTTCATGATACCTGTAATCTCTGGCTGGGGCTTTCGGCTTTGTCAAGCCAGCTTAAACAAAGAAAGCCTGGCTTTGTCAAACTTTCTTTTTAGTGCAGCCCTCAGTTTGAAAATATTCCCAATTTACAAATCTATTAGATGTTGACACAACAACTAGGATATGTTTCCTTTAAAGTACATTTAAAATTTAACGTGTAAATGTCTTCACCTATAATACATAATAATTCATAATGAGCTAGGCTACAGAGATGATTTTCTACAAACACTGCATAACTTCTTCTCCTCGCTTGAAAATTCCTTAAGAGCCGACATCACTGGGCTTTTGCACATGACAGTTGTTAGATAATCCGAGTTAAACACTAAAACAATCCAAACTACTGACAATATTAGCTTTTTTTTTGGAGCTAAATATTAATCTCTTTCCACTCGAATCTGCTGCTGCGCCACTGATCTGAAGACTACAGTTCACGCTGCCTTAATGAGATTCCGTGTGAGGTGACAGAAGATGCAAACAGAGGTCAAATAATATTGGACAGGCGGCAAGATTACTTAATAACGGCGTTATATCAGCTGATGTATTCATGAGCCTGGAAACACTGGGCGTCAGTTCCTCCCGAAGCCAGAGCATGTCTGACAGACTCATCAAAAGAATCTTAATTTCCCACTAGACTCAGTTAAAGAGAGGAGCTCAAAATAGACTGTAGTATGGCAGAGACATCCATTATGTGCTGACTGCTAACTGTTGAGTAAATTCACAGCCTATTTAAACCATGCTTCATGTGTTGGAGGACCCTCATATGAAACCCTGTGGAGCTCTGCACCTTGCTTTATAAATAATGCAAACTCGGTCTACCTTGCCAGACACAGACTCTCCGTCGTAGAACAGGTAGTGTTTCTCCACTTTCCCATCTTCTGTCTTCAACTCGGCTGTCTTTCTGTTCTCTGCGTCATTCAGCAGTACGTCGATCTCACATACCGGCCCGAACAAACCTCCCAGGAAACTCTGGAAACACAAAGTATGAAACGGAGTTATATAAAAAAAAACAGGAGCAACGGGCGTATGAGATGGTGCTTGTTTGAATATTAAAATGACTAAGCATTTTTTAAAGAGCAAATGAAAACTGTAATCATGTGGTTAATGGCTATCTAAAGAGCAAAAAGCAGATTTTAGTGTCAGATGATAATTAAACATTCTTCAAGCTTCAGAAGGTTTACCCTGAAGGGGAGACGTCCAAGAGCACTGACAACAAAATGAAGACAAATAACAAACAAAAATAAATCACAACATATGATTTATCAACTTAAGAGACTGGAAATGATTATAACCAACATAACAATGTGTGGCTTCATAGATCAGAGAAGCCAAAACACTAGTTTTCAAACTGTAAATAACGGCAGCAGGACTGGGTGTGTTCTCAGCTGCAGAATTTGTTCACATTCAATCGACTGTACAGACAAACAGGATGAGGCAATAATGAAAAACACCACCAGAGATGCCAAGATAACATCCCTGTCTGCGTGCACATGTTCTAGACTGAAGGGTGTGCTCTGACACAATTACAGTCTGAAGTTGTGACCATGTAAACTCTCACAATCCCACTTCCTAAACCCTGCCAGCACAATGACAGCAGCTATTATTTCCACAACAAACCGGTCACTCATCAGCAGCTTGCACAGCCTCATTATTTTCCTCTGAGCTGGCACCAAGTCACAAACACATGCTTCAACATGCAGGAGCAGCGGATCTGGAGGAATCAGCCCAGTCATCAAGATGTCAGGAGAGACTGGCTGGAGACTCGACCTCTCCTGTAAGAGAGGATGCATCTACAGCACAGAGGACTCTTATTTTAAAACTCAACCAGCTAACACAGGAGCCATCAGTGGGGGTAAACACTCAATTCTGCATCACAGTCTTCGGGTAGCGACTTGCAATAAAAGCATTTCTAACCTCAAATCCCAAACGAGGCCTTTCATGACTTTTAAGGAGAACACATAATTTGAGGAGCTGTTGCTGCAATCAACACGCATGTGACGCTCCAACTTCACAGCACACGGAGCTAAGCTAGCAGCGCTAGCTAACACTGACGTTTCATTTAGCCGCATAGCAGCCGCGGCGAACGAAAGCGCGAACGAAACGCGATGACTTCAGTTATTAACAAACGCTAAAAGTTGCTGTTATCGTCGGGCACAGCTGCTGGGCCGTCAGCTAGCCACAACACCCCTGAGAAAGTCGGCCTCGCACTGATGCTAACTGGACCAGCCCAGCTAGCTGCCCTGTCAGATTTAAACATCTGCTGCCAGCGGAGCCCCGCGCGCCGTGGAAATGTTCAGTTTGTTTTTTTTATTTTTTATTTTTTTAATAAACACACACCACGGTTTGTTTCTGTGCAGTCCGAGTAGCTGATGCGTGTTTTTATACTCACCATCTCGGCCGTCTAGACAGTGGAAGCTAACAGCTAGCCTCGCTCCGTGTAGCCAGTCTGTCTGAACCAGGGGGTAGGAGCGGGGCTCAGCGTCATGTGACCCGGGTCATGTGTGCGTGTGGGCGGGGACGAGGGGCTGAAAACACCCGGAGGCCGGCGGAGAGGAGGGGAGGGGGGGATTCAATCACAGCTTATTCTGAAGACGCCCCAAAAACATGATTTACAGCATAGTAAGAAATAAAAGAGAGTTTGTGAGTAAAGCTGCTGCTGCTGCAAAGAAAAAACCGGATTTGGTTGCAGACATCAAATTACACAATTAGTTTATTTAATTGTGTCACCCTTAATCCCACTGACAGCTGCATTTGATAGGGCAGAGCAGGGTAAGATGAACCTGGAGTCACCCCTTGTTAGTATAAAACCAAAGAAGACATTGATCATGTAACCAAACACTTCTGAAGAGGTCTTTATTATACAAGGAGAAGGAGCACATGGAGTAAGAGATGAGCACACTTTAGTCAACAAAATTGCTTTTTTTTTTGCTGTTTAAAGTAAATGTGTCATGTTTGTGGTTTCACGAGTGTTGCATCCTTTATTCTTTATTAGGATCCCCATGAGCTCCCACAAACTGATTGCTAGTCTTCCTGGGGTCCCGGAATAAAAATCCATCCATTGTCTCTACACCTTAATCCTCACTGGGGTCACAGGGGGCTGGAGTCTATCCCAGCTGACTCAGGGTGAAGGCAGGGGACACCTGGACAGGTCACCAGTCTATCACAGGGCTACACTTAGAGACAGACAACCAAGCACATGGACAATCCAGAATCACCAATCAACCTCAACAGGTTTCTGGACTGTGTGGGAGGAAGCCGGAGAACCCGGAGGGAACCCACGCTGCACGGGGAGAACATGGAGATTCCACGCAGAAAGATTCTGGTGCCCCCCCTTCTTGCTGCGAGGCAACGGTGCTACCAACTGCACCACCTTGCAGCCAGGGTAAAAAATAAAAATCACAATTTACAAAAAATTAAAATACATAATAAATAGCAAACATTTCATTTATAATGCAACCCGGTACAAAGCAGTAAATGGATAACAGTAAACGCAAGTTGACACAACACTGTAAATGCTTTTGCTCCTCTGTAAACAATAGTTCTTTCCATGAAGGTGGTTTTGGACCCGGGGACGACCAAAGTACCGGAGGTCACTAGTCGAGTCACATAATTGTGACAAAACCCAAAAATAAGAGTTTTTCATTTAAAAATCTGGGCTCTCTCTTTGCCAAAACTTAATGCATGAACATGAACAGACGAGCTTGTAGTTTAGCCTCTACTGTTAATCAGGACAGTTTCTTGTGCATCTCACACACATTTGTTTGAAAAGAACAGTGGAGCACAACTCGAGCAGCTCTGTTCTGAGTTTCTTTAGATGCCTCTGTGTAGCATTGGACCACACCACAGGACACTAATGCAGGTGAGACATCCGAACAATTATTGTGACATCTGAAACAGAACTTAGCTCCAAACTGCCTGGATGATGCGCTTTAGTTAAAAAGGTGGCAGTGGGGTTAGTTGAGCCAGAAGGCCGGGGTTAGGTTGGGCCACTGGCTCCATCTGGATGGAAGGGCAATTTTCACCTTCAAGGAGAAGGATGAGGGAATCATCCACAGAAAGCAGGTGATCTAGAAACTAGCAGCACCTCAGAAAGCCCCGGGGAAGCGCCGGAAGGGAAGCAGAAGTTTATATTCCCCTGCCGTGTGGATCAGTGGCATGGTGAATAGTTTCCCGGATGTATGAGGAGAATTGCAGTGGATTTGGACTTAATTTTGATCTTGCCTTGATATTTTTATTTTCCCTGCATTTATTTTTTTTCTAGCTTGATTTTGTTATGGAAATGTGAAATACGTAGGCCCTGTTGAAGAACAGAATTCTTTGGATTGTAAACTTTATTGATGTTAAACAGGATTTTGTTCTAAAAATGTGAAATACTCAGACCTTACTGAAGACAAGTGGCCTTTAAAGTCCCCAGTTTTGTAAAGATGTGGTCATGTCTGTCATCTGTGGGCCTTTTGGAAGAAAACTGGCCTTTAAAGTTGCACAGTTTATCTTTAAATACAACTTCTAAGACGCCATTTGCTGTTGAATTTGTCTTGCTTTGATATATAAGGCATAACATTTTCACTTCAGCATAATCAATAGCACAATTTACCCCCGACATATTTTCTCCAAAGGCTCAATTTATCACTTTGTTTGTTTATTTTAGATCCAAACCAATTATTCCCAGGAATGCCCCACACCCTGACGTATATGTACATGTTTTATTTTTACTGTCACGCTTCCATTGTAAAGACTCAAGCAAAAACCAGCTCATCTGACTCCACCTTCCCCGACTAACTTTTTGATGCCAATGTCAAGATTTGAGAAATTATTTTTTAACATAAATGAGTGACACAACTTTTGGACCAACATGCATATTGAGACATTTGTTTAGTTGTAAATGAAGTTAGTCGCTGCTCCCCAGTGGACAAATGAGTGACAACACTTCTTCTACAATTCCCAAGCACACCGCTGTCTAAATAGTCTCCACTGGGTTATTTCATCTGAAAACAA